CCGGGCGAGGAGGTCAGCATGGACGGGCCCGTCCTCGTCCTCGCCCTCTTCCGGGCGCTGGTCGCTGGGATCGAGAGCGAGTGGCTCTGCGGAGGTCGAGGCGGCGTCGGAGGCGGGGGCGAGACCGCGAGAGGAGTGAGGCAGGCAGGAGGAGGAGGGGGGAGCGGCGCGTGGCGGAGAGCGGAGTGGATTTGGGGGAGAGGAGGACACGTGAGGCGAGGTGCTCCGTCTCGTTTGCTCTCTCGGCTCGGCCGCGCTGCCGCGGTTGCCCAGTGCCACGCGGCATGGCGGGGACGGGGAGGCCACCTGCGCGGCTGCGGGCTTGCGGCGCCGTGCGGGCCCGGGAAGTGGAAGAAGACTCGGTCGGCCTGGCCTTGCTCGCGGCGGCAGCCCAGAACTCCAGAAGGCGAGCCCATAAAAAACGACGTTCACGGGTTGCTGGTCTTGCCACTTTGTTTTTGAACGCCAATATCTGGCGACCGTGCTCGCTACCAGCAACAGCAAGCCTTCCCGGAGCTCCTATACGGCGTGAGCAACTTTTTTATTTACAACTTACGACGAGAGCAATTAATTAAGGAGTACTTGTTCGGAAGCCCCGCAAGGTCACTTGGTGTGGGTTAAGAGAGCGTCACATTGCGCGCTCTTGTTCGCAGACACGTGTCACGTTTTGGGCACTCCCTCCGAAATTTGATTTTTTTCTATAGGTGTTTTCGGTTTTTAAATGATTTTTTTCGTGTTTCTTCGGCTTTTCGGTCTTCCCTCGTCTTTGGATAAAAAAAGCACATTCTTTTTCTTCCGTGAGAGGCATGGATTTGCTTCGCGATGTGCCTCTCGAAAAGGAAAAACGTGTTTTCTTTTTTCCCTTTTCGCGAGAGGCACATATTTACTTCTCATGAAGACACAAATTTGCTTCCGCGAGAGGCACGCTCGTGCCTTTCAGAAAAGGAAAAAAATCGTGCATCTTCAGAAAGGGAAAAAACATGCTCCGGTTTGGCCGGTTTTTACATGAAGAAAATTGTTCGAAACCTATCACACATGGGATCTAGATTTTGAAGATCTCGACGCAAGGAATCCGATGATGAAAATGGTCCGAGATTTGAACACACAGTTTAAGAGATAAAATATTTTGAATAAACAATTCTGCGAAAAAGAGAAAACTCCTAGGTTGCGACAAATGACGTGCCACTTGTCGCCTCGGATACGGGAGGGGGCTAGGACCATCTTATAAGGAGGAGTGCCACACTCCCTTCAGGCTAGTCTTTTGGAATGCGGTGGGCTCTTTGCTTGTAGTGGTGTATCCGATGCGCACCGGAAACGTCCGAACATATGTCGGAGGTTGGGAGCTGGGCCTGGGACGCTAACAATTGGTATCAGAGCTGGGCCCCAGTCCGTCCTGTTTAGGGGGATGGGGTGTCAGAGACGCTGGCCATTAGACGTTGCCAGTGACTTTAGTCCCGCCTCGGATATGGGAGGGGGCTAGGACC